AATAAATAATTAATAATTATTTTTTATTATTGTAACCAAACATAAAATGTTTACTTTTTATAAAATCTCTACAAAATAAATCTCTCTTTATAAAATTTAAACTACCTAAAAATTACTTTTTTTTTTAATCTTTGTTGTAAGGTTTGTAGTAAACTTTGTCTTCTCCCTTTTTAAAGAATTTTAAATAATTAAGTATATCCATATTCAAAGAAATATTTTGCAAGAAGTATTAAAAGTAATAAACTATGAGAGTTAATAGAGTTTAAAAGTAAAATAAATATAAATTATAATAGGATTAATATATAATTTAGACCTTGGAATATATATCCAAAAGCAATTTAAACTCTAAACTCATATTTAATACATTTTGTATCATAAACAATTAAATTTACCACTAAATCAAAATAAATGTTAATGTTCAAGAAACTTATTCATAAACTTAAACTATAATAAGCCTCACTCAAGAAACAAGAAGTTCACATTCTCATATTAATAAAAATCCATTCCATATTAAATATTGTCAGTGAATAAGTTTTTTGAGTGGTACTTGAACGTGATTAAAAATGCAACTAATTCTCCCAATTTATTTTTTTTTATAGAACTAATTTTCCCAAGTTCGATATATTCAGTTTGGTGAGGTCATATATAATTATATAATTAGCTAAAGTGTTTATGAGAGTGTAGTGGAATAAATATATCATACAACGGAGTCATTTGAGAAATATAAGAGAATAAAGTTGCTTTCTGAATCAGAGGGCAATCAAAATATTTAGGAGACAAGAAATACCAAATGCACACTTCAAACCTTCACTACTAAGTGAAAAAGCTATGCTAGATAATAATAGTCTGTAAGAAAATAGAAAATAAATAATCATTAACAGAGACGTGAAGCTCAAGGATGGCAAAGAAGATAACGTTTTGGAGTCGATAACAAAATTAGGAGAAAAAAAAAAAGTTGAATACTATCATATATATATATATATATATATCATTTGAGTAAATTACTGCACATTTCACAACTTGGAATCATTAACACTTCATTTTTGGCATCGATCCATATTATTCATGACTGTAAATAAAAATGCTCCTGCTAGCTTTTACATATACATATTCAACATGTTTGTTATACACCAAAAAGTCCTTTTGACTTCCGTTTGTGATAAACTTTTTCAAGTTCTTGGCAAACTCAAACAGATTCCCAAACATGCTGATGATTATTCCTAAATGACAGTAATAGGATATACAAAAACATCCATGTAGTTATAGAAACACAAGATATGCTGATTTATATAGCACTATTCAGAAATTTGTCATATTTCTACTAAAAAGAGAGTTGCACATGAACAAGGTTAGGCCAAGCATCTCTCCTGTCCTGTGCCAAGATTTGACCTAATTGATTGAAAATATTTTTTTAAGTAATTTTGGAAAAATATAAAACAAATTCTTTGAAAAAAGTATTATCATTATCTTTGAAAATATATTTTCATAAAATCAATATTAGAATCAAAAATAATTTTTTAAAAAGTTCAAATGTTAATTATTTTTACATAATAATAAGTTAAAAACAAATTTTAAATTTTGAAAGAGATTTAAAAAATTGCAATGATAAAAAAATATCTAAAAGATCATAAAAATAATATAATTAAATAATATCATAAACTAAATATTATTCACAAAAAATAAAAAAATAGGCACATGTTTGAGTAGGGCAAAGTTTAACCTCAACCCAGTGCCAAGCCTAAAGCTTAGCCAAATGTGCTTGAATATCTTGAGTGAGGTCAGGCTAACTAGGCATTCAAGCATAATGCATAGCTAGGACTGTACAGAAGTCCTCTAATCTTGTTTGACCTAGTTTAACCTGATAAGATCATTTGTCCTATTAAAAAATGGTCCTTTAGGACTGAAAAAATTAAAAAAAAAACAAAATTGTTTCTTTGGGTTGAATTACACAGGAGACTGGACATTTGGACCACTAGGTCCAATCTAGTCTTATTAAATTTATTTAATATAATTATAATTAATTTACTAATTATTTATAATAATAAATTAAGACTATTAATTATTTAATAAGTCTGATTCCTCACACGGTCACACACTCAGACTAATAATTTAATAATGTGGCCCACTTGGATTGTAACTAAAATATTTTTTTTCTTCTTGTTGAAAATTATTATAGATTTATTATGATCATAAGTGTTCTTATTATCTTAATTGATATTATTAGGTTGAAATGAATTGTCACCTCCTATATAGGAGAAAAAAATGTTAAGTAAACACTGAACTAGCAGGACCAATCTCTCAATCTTATAGACCAAATCTGGTCCTATTAATTTTTAGGTTATCACTGGATTAGACCAGACTATTGATTGCCTAAGTCAGTCCTTTTCATGAAAAAAATGAAGCTTCAAGTTACATCGAAGGCCAATCTCATCCAATCCTTTGAGCAATGATCACACTTTGAAAATAAGGCGTGACCAGCAAAGAATATAAAAATAATATCCCATATCCCAAAAGCTTTAATTCAATAAAACTCTAATATCTAATATTCAAATAATTATATTTGTATTGAATTTAGAACATTCTTAAAGTTTTTCCCTCAACAAATGCCTTAATATTTTGTGAAAATTTCAACAAAACCTCCCTTATAAATAAAACCTCTTGAAAATTTTACATCAAAATCTTTAAATAAAAAATTACAATAACTAAGAGTTCTGCTCCTTGTAGCCAACAAACAAAGTATATAACAAAATAAAGACCCTAACTACAATCTATATAGAGCATATAATTATATTTTTTCATAACATAATACATACGTTCATATTACATCAATAGGAGATATTTACCAAACAAATCTCCAACCAACTTAACAAAAAAATCCCTCATTAGTAAAACATATATAATTTATGTCTTAATTATGTCTTAATTTATAATTTTGTCTTAATTCCTCCAATCTCTACTAAACTTAATATATATCTTCTTCTATTTAACACTTTGTTTCTATTTAACTCTTCTCAAGTGTGTGTGTGTATATATAACTAAACTTGCATGTAAATATATACTACTCTTAATCACGTTGATGTTTCAAAGTTCTTCTATCACTCATCTTATCAAGCACCTTAGGTGCATCTCCAAAATGAAGTTTAAAAACAATATTACCATTTATATTCATCGACCATGCAATTTCCAAAATCCAATTTGTCTCACAATCAAAATTCTTTACAAAACTCAAGTTAAACCCATAAATAATCAACACTTAAACCAATTATGTCCTCATAAAAGTTAATGAAATTTCTAGAAGATCATAACCAAACAAAACTCATTCTAACAGACACTGTATCGAATATCTTGTAAGCCCTATTGCTTAAACCATAACAAGAAGTTCATTTCTCTTTCAATCTCCTTAATATGCACTAAAATTTTATTCAGCTTCCTACAATTCCACAATATTCAATAGACATTCTGAAAATCAATACATAAATAGCAATTTAGTACCTGAATTATCAATGAAAACATTCTCTTCAAAATTCCTATTTCTAATTCCAACTTCCTTTCAAGCATTTTATCAAACATCTCATGTGCATCCAAATTCAACAAATATCAAGCCTCTTTTTCCTTAATATCCTTTTCAAAATTTCTCGAATACCAATTTTTAGATTTAATCTAGAGCAAAATCAGTTAGAACCAAATCCACGTTCATCTCCATTGACAATAACCCAAAAGGACCCTATAAAAATTACTCAACGGAAATATTCACTTAACCTTTAAATTTTACTTTACTCAAATCCTACTCCAAACAAAGTCACAGATGGCAGCAACATTAGTAAGAGAGATCACAGTTATAGCTTTCTAAATACACTCACAAAATCAGCATGAAAGAGAACTCAAAAATCCTCACCTCAGGTTATCAATATCAGAAACAAGAGGAGTTGCTTGAGCGAAAAATGGAGGAGGAAGAAGAACGTCCGACCCCACACCACAAAAAGCACAATGATGGAAGAGGTGAATGCCGGCGATGAGAAATATAACCAAGAAAGGACTGGTGGAAGTGCAGGGAAACACAGCCTCACGAATCAAACCTCAACAGCGATGAACTCACGGCAAACACTGACCGGCAACGGACTGGCAGCAGAGGAAGAAAGCAAGACTGACGGTGCCGAAACAGGGGAGGAATAAAAAGAGATCAACACCCCACAGAACAACCAAAACGGCAGACGAATGGCACACCCGCATAGTTGCCGACGATTGAGGAACGAAAAGGAGAAAGGAGAACGTTGGTGGACGAAGCTTCTATAACTAACTCTAGCTATATCGATTTCTGCTAAGGCGAAAAAAATGAAAGGGGAAGGAAATACTCGGATCTTATGTGCGTGCGTATCATTCCTTTCTTTGTTTTTTGTTTTTTGTTTTAAATTCCGAGAGGGATAATGGTCATTTAATCAAAGACCAAAATGAAAATAAAACTCCTCTCATACATCTGCATGATTCGAACCAAGGACTTAATGGATTAATTGTCAACACAATTTCCACCATACAACGATCCCTTCTTATTGTATTTTCCCCAAAAAATTAATAAAAACTCAATTAGATATCATAAATTTTAATTTTTAATTTAAACTCCTAGGTCATTACAGCAGCCGTATGCACAGCCCTACTAAAAACTAGAGAAGATTGTTAATCTTTGGTTCACCTCTTCAGTCCTCTTCAACTACTCATAGTTATCAGCAATTAGAGACAGGAATGAAATAAGACATGGGATAAGACGGGAGAAATTGTCAAGAGCATGACATGTCAGAGTATCCATTAGTCGGACTTAAATTGGTCCTAGTGGAAGGGCCTATGATCACTTAAGCACGAGGCCTCATGTTCGAGTCTGTGTGGATATAGAAAACATATTTAGAATAACTATCCCTAATTGAGCTCGATGATACTTAAATCTGTCCCAGTCAGATAGCAAAATCAAAATGAGGAAATCTGTGATGGACTTTTCACCAAACAAATTTTGCAACCTATCATGAAATGCATTAAAAAAAAAAATATGACACCCTTATTTTCTATGAAAAAAATCCATTGCAGGATCATTTACAAAGGATTTTTCTTGAAATTTGTTGCAAATTTCTGTTGGCACACGCACACTTATCCCCCCGCCCAAAACTCACAAGCACACCTATGCATGCATGCAATCACAGCCTATTGGGGAACTTGGAATCAACAAGGAAAATTCCAAGAGGAGACAATAATAGGAAATACAAAACATCCATGCAGCTATATATTCTAGTTCTATATAAATTATCATATTGCTCTAGGAACTACAAGGGATTATTAATCTCTGGTTTAGCTTTCCTCTGCAGATTCTCACATGCACCTGCTATCAGGGATGACAATGGGATGGGACACGATGAATATTTCAGAGTTGGACAGGTCACGTACCAGCAAATTGTACTTGAATTTTCATCTTTTTCTGCCATATAAATACTGTAAAGAGAAAATAGAAATTGTTGTGTGCTTCAAAGTTCCAACATGAAACTCTTCAATCATGTTATTGATTGCAAGTAAATGGGATCATCGTAACACACTGTATGTTAGAGTTCATAACTATCTCAGATCAAAGTTTAAATCTTAATTTCAAGGATAAACTACACTAAGAACACAGCACAAACTAAGTACACAAAGAAATACTAGGAGAAACAAGAAAAATAAGAGAAACACGTTTATTTGCTAATCCAAAAGCAACAGAATAGCAGTCTACCTAAGCATGTAGAGAAACATACTTAAAGCTCCAAAACTTCTATTCTTGTATTTGTTAAGGCCATTCTTCCATGAAAACTTAACAGTGGTTTTAAATTTCAGCAACAGATTTGGCCCCATTCAACAATCATTCCTAACCTTTCAAGAGAACTTGACACAGAACAATAATGAAGATGTCCTAGAAAGCATGTTCAAGCACGTGTTATTGAAATGGAGGATATATTTTTAACATGATAATAGTATTCAATTACAGTCTATTGATCTATTTGGAATACTACTACTACTACTACAACAACAGCAACAACAAGACATATCCCACTAGGTGGGGTCGAATTGATCTATTTGGAATAAAAAAGAAAAATTCTTAAGAAAACAGTAAATAGGATATACAGAATATTCATGTAGTTATGCATGGAGAAACAAGTTATGGTAATGTATTCTATTCGGGAAAGGTCACCTCTTCCTTCAAACTTCTAATAGAAATCTTCCATCTCATCAAGACTATTAAGGCCAAAGAGAAATCGTTTTGTGCATGAAAATCCAATCAAGAAATTATGCCACTGCCATTTCGAGGGGCTCATAATCAATCTCAACCCTTTGTATTCTCCAAATTTGATCATAATTTTCTCTGCATTGTTCTCTTAGAATGTCACATTGTACAATGATAAGAGATTCCAATGAAGTTGGCAGTCCGCCATTCGGCAATGATTGGAGCTGAGGACAATGCATAATCTCTAAATTTTCAAGGCAAGAAAGATGATGAAGTTGAGGAAGAGAGCGTAGATTTTGACAATCTACTATAACAAGTTGGTGTAGCTTAGGCATGGCACCTTCATCCCAATCAAATTGCTGCAGATTTTGCATGTCTTGCAATGTAAGTGATTGCAAATGTAGAAAACCACGAAAAATGTGGAGTGATAGCAAATCATGAATCTCATTAATGTACAAAGATCTCAAAGATGGAAGCCCTTCAAGTTGAGGAAGATGCCGACAATGGTGACATTTTTGCAAATAAATACTCTCAAGCTTGTTAAATGATGGATCGCCCAACCAACTTGGAAACATAAAGCCACCGTAACCTGATATAGTTAGCTCTTTGATCATAGAGTGGGGTCTAAGTCCTGCTAAAACTTGTTCAGTTGAGTCAACTTTAAACTCATTCCATTGCAACTCTAATTTGTCTATGTATTGCTTTTTGTCTAACCTGGCCATGACAGCTTCTTTGACGCTTGACACATTTTCAAGGTTAGTGATGCACAAGGATCCATGCAGGAAATTCATATTTTTCAGCTCCTCAATCCCTTGCCCTTTCTCCTTGCCTACAATAAAGGCAGATAGTGTTTGAAGATTTGTCAAGTTTCCAAGGTTTGGTGGCATAAATGTTATTTGACGCTTTACATCCAATTCAAGTTGTCGCAAGTTTGTTAGATTCTTCATGTGCATGGGAAGCTGAAGAAAGTTGAAACAATTTTTCAGCTTAAGTGTTTCCAACCCATGTAGATTTGTCACCGACTCTGGCAACTTTTCAATATTTGTGTTTGAAACATCAAGGTAGCGGAGGTGTTTCAAAGCACCAATAGAATCAGGAAGTTCACTGATATTGGTGTAGTTCAAATTCAACACTCTGATACGATGAAGACTAAGAAAGAGTTCATAAGAGATATCATTAACATGGCTTTGACTTTCTGATGAAAAAAACAGCAACGTTCTTAGGCGATTGCACTTACGAAACAACTCCAAAGACTGCTGGTTATTGCCATCAGAAACAAAAGATAAGTGTCGAACACTTGTGAAATTAGGCCATAGATGTGACGTGTCAATATTATCATCCATTCTAAAGCATAGTTCCCCAGAAACAAATTGAGCAAGCTCATGAATGAGATTATGCATTTTATACACTTGTTGATTGTTATGGTCACGGTGTGAAAATTGGAGAAATGACCTTTGCAACAGAATGTCAAAGTAGTCTCTACCAATATCTTCAATTCTTCTCCTTGGTTGGGGTTGGATGAACCCTTCTGCCACCCATAGTTGAGCTAAATCATCTTGAATAAACTCAAAATTTTGAGGAAATATTGAGCAATAAGCAAAGCAACGTTTCAAACAATGAGGCAAAAGATGATAACCTAGTGTCAATGCTGGAAGAATTTCATTCCCAATTTCAGGTAATTCCCAAAATTTGCTATTTAATATTGCCTCCCATTCATTTCTATCCGATTTACAATGCAAAACACTCCCAATGATTCTTGCAGCTAATGGTAACCCTTGGCACTTTTCTGCTATCTTTATGCCAATTTCCACCAAATCGTTGCGCTCATCCAGCTCAATGCTTGGGAAGGCTCTTTTCTTAATCAAAGCCCAACAATCTTCATCCAATAAAGTGTCTACATGATAAGGTGGAGTAGTAGCAACAATGTTGGAGACTCTCATGCTTTGTGTAGTCACCAAGATTTTACTTCCTTTTGCTGTAACTCTAAATGGCAACCGCAAGACATCCCAGTGACTTGTATTTTCATTCCACATGTCGTCTAGAACAATCAACACCTTCCTGCTCGCCAACAATTTTCCAATTCTATTTGAATATGATTCAGATCTGAAACTTTCAACATCTTCCCAGTAGCACTCTCAAAAATTGATTTTGAGATTCTCTCTACACTATGCTCCACAGAAATGGTCACCCAAATGAGCAAGTCGAATGTGTACCTGACAATCTCATCATTATAAACAAGCTTTGCAAGTGTTGTTTTGCCGATCCCTGCCATGCCCACAACTGCAATTACAGAAGTTGATTCTCTGTCCGTTCCGTTCGACAATAACATATTCACAACTTCAATTTTATCATATTCCCTTCCTACCACATATGACTCGTCCACTAATGAACTAGAACTGTGCAGTTTCCAATTACATTCAATAGTTTGCGTCGCCTTCAGCAATATCTCACTAGCAAACATTCCGTCCATCTCTTTCACTAGGTCTTCTAGTTTACGTTGCATATTCACTACTTGAGAAGGAAGGCTAAAATGAAATCTGGAGAGAATCAATGTTCGTACCTGTTCTGTGTCGGTTGGTCTATTAGAAGTAAATTTTGAAATTTCCAAGGCAATCTCATGCAACAGGTCGTCAGCATCGTGAAGCACGTCTTGGAGGTGCCGAAGCCAGAGCTTTAACGCCAGAGGAGTAGAAGGCCACTGAAGCTGGTTGCTAAGAGAATCGATAAAAGCCTGAACCTTCAATACTGTCCTTTCTAGCTTCTTAACCTCATCGTCAACGCCTAAAACTATGCCGAGTTCTCTTTGGGCGAATGTTGTGAATCGATCAAGGATAACCTGAAGAGAGCCTGATACAATACCAGATTGGAGAATGAAAGATCCCATTTCAAGCGTTTTTCTCTGGCTAGGAGGATTTAGAATTTCATCAAATGAAGTGAGGCTTGTTATTCCTTCCCAACCCGAGTCCATCTTATATTGACTGCCTGTAATATTTACCGTCAACGACTCAACGACTCAACTTTACCGTCAAACAAATAAATAGATCGAAAATTATGTTTTTGATCTTCAGTTTATATCTGATAAAGTGATAAGAATGTATTTAAAGGATTCAATTATTTATTAAATTTGATAAAAATATATTTTAGATATACTTTAAATGTACTTTTGACAGTTATTTAAATAAATATTAGGTAAATGTCAATTTATAAATGCAAACATGTGCTTGGTAGCTATAAATCTTTTAGTGTGTCATGAGATCTTGGGTTTAAACCCCTTTAGCTACACCTCAGAAATTTTTTTGCTATGACCGTAGATTTGAATTACATTTATGTGCCTTAATTTACCAAGCAAATTCAAATTTATTTAGTCTTTTCCTGTAATAAATATCTTCCAAAGATTTTTAGATATAATTTTCCCTTAAATTTTGGTGGTACTGCTTCTTTTGACTTTGTTTACCAACATTATGTGTCGGTGGGATACCCATATCTTCACATTAAATCAATAAATGAGGCTGCTTTAATTTCATTGGGCATTCAAGATCAATTAATCTGAACTTCTGTATTCTTGTGATCCTATCTTTATCACTTTTTAGTACAGTTAGTCAAGGGGTCCTCTTATTAAATTTTGGTGGGACTACTTTTTTGACTTACGTTTCTCAACATTGGGTGGTTTATTAATGTCTTCATAAAGTCAAATATAACTATCAAAATTATAGGAAGCTATTCAATTTACCAATTGTAAACAATTTGGTTTATTTTGGATTTTGTATAAATGCACGACACCCGGTCTAACTATATATGAGTTTTGCATAAAATTGATGCCTTATTTTTATCTCTGTCACTCATTTTTAGCAAAATATATTTTATTTGTTCTGTTTTTTATATAGAGAATTTATATTAAGTTTAAAACTATTATTTTGGTCTCTCATTACTCATTCAACTTAATTATTCTTCGAGGGACTAGATAGTAGCTCATTTTTTACCATATTTATAGAGAGACAAATAGATGTAATCATATTATGACTCACTGGACATCTCATTGAAATTTTAATATTACAATGTTTGTCAATTTTTTTTTTTGATTGTAGAAACTATATGGTTTTTCTGTGCGGTTTAATTTATGGTCTTGCATTCAAAAATACTTAATCACTTTTCAATATTAGTCACATGATAAAGGCTCTACCTTCATTTTTGATTTAACGTTTAGTCTTTCTCTTTTACCCATTGTCAGGATTCATGTTGAATGAATTTTTTTTTATATAAAAAGGCAATATATTTTGGGGAGGAGCTGGAATTTAAAAATAAGGGAGTCAAAATTAAAAAAATATATATACTATAAAGTTTTTATAAAATTTAAAGGGTTGGAAGTATGTGTTGGGGGGGGTGCAGCCCCTACTGGTCCCCCCTCCCTCCTTACTGATGGACCCCATGGCACGGGTGACATAGCATTAATGGCAACGAAGCCTGAGGATGGTAATCATGAGCATGGTGACATAGAAGGAGCCCAATACTTCCAATCCAATGTACCTAAAGACCCATTGCAACATATTGGAGGTCCAATGACAAGAGCCCGAACCAAAGCCATGAAGCAAGCCTTGTTTAGTCTTGTGCAAGAAGTTCAAGAGCTTGGAGAGCATTGGGGCACTCCCCTCAAGTCCAAAGGAGAGCATCTATACGTGTATAATGTATTTAAGATCCAAACTCATGAAGAGTCAAGCCCAAGAGATGCAGACCTTAGCCCAATGCAAGGAAGACTGCAAGTTGAGCCTCTTGCATGCAAGGAGGCATGAAACCCTAGTAAAGAAGTCAAGGGTGGCGTGATTTCAAATCCTTTATCATCCCTTGATTGTCTCCTAAATTATTTCCTATTTTAATGGTCCTTTGATTTGATTTTCTATTTTGAGTCTAGTCAAAGGTTAGAATTAATTATAATATTAATTTCTAAATTTTGTAATCCCATAATTTTAGGATCACATCTCCTAAATTATGTGGCTGAATATTTTATCATTATTTCTCCTTTTAGTATTAGGAAATTAGGGTTTTAATTTTAGGAAATATTTTTCTATGAGCCTATATAAATTAGGCATGCTCCCTATTGTAAACAACACAGAAGTTGAATGAAATTATTCATTTTAGAGTTTATAACTCTTGTGAGCCTTAGTGCTTTGTGGTGGTATCCTGTGTGAGAAACTGACGTGATCAAGAGCGTGATCAACTCTTGTGGTGTCTTCGAAGGTTGAGGTTCCTAGAGGCAGGTGCTCTAGAGGATCTTCTCCTTGATCATTATCCTATTGTTTACTTTATACCTTTCTTTATTTCCGTCATAAATTTCGTCCCTTTCTTTTTGTTCTTGTGTTTTTGTTGTTTCAAGGTTCTGTCCCTAAACTAGCACGATTCTGCTTCCGCGTCCCTATCAGATTGGCATCAGAGCTTTGGTTGCTAGTTTTGGTTTAAATTCTTGTCCTTCCTTCTTCTTTTTCATCTTGAGTTATTTCTTTTTGTGATCATCTCTTATCTACCCCATCTACTTTATCTTTTGGTTTTTCTCTTCTTCATCTTTGTGACTTTTTATCTTATGTGAGTTTTCATTTTATTAGCCTTCTCAAAAAAAAATACCTAGAAATTCGTGCAAAAAAAAGGCAAAAAAAAAAGTGTTAGTGTGTTGAGAAAAAAAAAGAGAAAAAAAAATCCGAAAATTCAAAAAAAAAATTTACAAAAAAAAATATATTGCTGTGAGTTATGACTGTAGAAAAAGGCTATTCTTGAACTCCAAGTCACCAAGAGGTTGCTTAAAGAGAAAAGTCAACTTGGGTGATAAGAAAGTCTTTTACGTTGATCACTTTCTTATTTTTTATTTTTGGTAGCACTTTTCAAATTCTCTACTCTCTTATTTGCTATTTGTGCTACTCTCTTATTTTATTTATTTTTTTTATTTGTGTCTTTGAGTATTTGACTCTTTGACTTTTACTTCTTTTTTTTCTTATTTTTTGTTGTCACGTGTGGTTTTTCCTTTAATAAGCTTAATTTTATTTGAAAATTTTGCTTTCCTATTTGTTTCAAAATTGCAAAAAAAAAAAAAATCCTCTTTTCACCTTGTGCTTGTTTTCTAGTTTCCTTAATTTAGAAGATATTCACTTGATTGTTCCTTAGTTTCTTGATTTGTGGGTTTCACCATTGGATTCTACCCACAAGCTTAGTGAGTGGTAAAAGGCAAGTGTGTTTTTCATCATTAAAAAAAAAAAGCCATTACTTTTTTTTTTGTGTGAAACACGAGTGACTTTATCTTGAGAGTAAACACGTGAGTTTGTGTGTGTGAGGACCTATTTTTATCTTATATGGTTTCTAGTGCTTCTGTGAACATGAGTAACAAGGATGAATCCCCTAGTATTGATATGAACTCTGTTTTAGAACTTATCAAAACACAGTTGCAGCAGTTTCGCTTGGAACTTGATCATAGATTCCATAAAGAGGATAAAGATGAGCCGGAGACTTCCTCTTCTAAAGGAAAGAAGCATAAGATCCCCAGCGATGATGAGGAGTATGAAGAACCCCCTTCTCCTAAGGGAAAGAAATCCTTAAAGCGTGGTGTTGACTTACCGGACCAAAAAGTAAAGTATCCTTCATTCAAGGGAAGCAACAATCCAGAAAAATACCTTGATTGGGAAATGAAGATGGACCAAATCTTCATGACTCTTGATTTGTCTGAGTCAAGGAAGGTAAAAACTGCTTCTTTGAATTTCACTGACTATGCTGTTTATTGGTGGCAAGATTTACAGTACAAAAGAAGCCAACTTGGGAAAAAGCCCATTAAAACGTGGGAGAAGCTTAAAAGGTACTTGAGAAAGGCTTATGTCCCCAGCTACTACTATACAAAGCTGAATAGAAAATTGAGAATGTTTTCTCAAGGATCTATGACAGTGGAGGAGTATGTGCACGAGTTGAATATCTTAAAGTTTCGTGCAAACATTCAAGAAAATGAACGTGAAGCAATGTCAAGAATTATGGATGGCTTGAGGCCAGAGTTGAGAGATAAGCTTGACTTGTACACTTTTGTGGACAAGGAAGAGCTCATACACAAGGCTATAAAGTTGGAGCAGAGAAATAAGAACAAACGTTCCAAGTCCTCTTGGAAAGACTCCAAGACAACTTCCAAATGGAAGGATTCCAAAGCCAAAGATACATCCCAAGCCAAGGAAGAAATAAAGACCAAGTATGAGGGTAAAACTTCTAACCCTAAACCTTCTTCTTATTCATCTAACACTTCTCCTATTAAGTGTTTCAAATGTCATGGTGTGGGCCACATGGCGAGAGATTGTAGCAATAAAAGGGTTATGATCTTGAGAGATGATGGTGGCTATGATAGTGTGCATGAAAGTGATAAAGATGATGCTGATAATGTTGATGATGATTCTACCTCCCATGAATCAAATGATGAGCTTGAATGCAATGGTGTAGTTGACTCTATCTTGGTGGCAAGAAGAGCTCTCAATATTCAACCAAAGGAGGATGATGAACATGAGCAACGCGAGCATATTTTTCACACTAGATGCTTCATCAAAGAGAAAGTGTGTAGCATGGTAATTGATGGTGGTAGTTGCACTAACGTCGCTAGCACTTTACTTGTAGATAAATTATCTTTACCTTTAATCCCACACCCTAAGCCCTACAAATTGCAATGGTTGAATGATTCTGCTGAAATTAGGGTTTCTAAGCAAGTGTTGATTACTTTCTCTGTTGGAGTTTATACTTGTGATGTATTATGTGATGTAGCCCCTATGCTTGCTGGACACTTGTTATTAGGTAGGCCTTGGCAGTTTGATAGTAAGGCTACTCATGATGGTTTTAGAAATTGTTACAAGGTGCCTTTTAAAGGCAAGACTGTTGTATTAAATCCTCTTAGGCCCATCCAAGCCTATGAAGATCAACTAAAGATTACTCAAGATTACAAGCAAAGGAGAGATCTCCTTGATT